ATATGCTCATATTTCTGTAGAAATAGTTCTGCCCATGTCTGTTTCTTTCTTTCAATCTGTCTTCAGCACATACACCCCTTTCTTAATGTTCAGACCCTTCACCAGGGAAATGGTGACAAAGCAGACGAATCCCCTGCCCTCTGTCCTAGTCCATTCAGGCTGCTATAAGAACACATCATAGGGACCAGTTGGCTCATAAATAAAAGAAATTTACTGCTCACAGTTCTGGAGGCTTGGAAGTCCAAGAGCAAGATGCTGGCATATTTAGTGCCTGGTGAGGGCTAGCTTCCTAGTCCAGACAGCACCTTCAAACTCTGTCCTCACATGGTTGAAGGTGCAAAGCTGCTCTCTGGGACACACACACACACACACACACTCAGGATTGAACTCAGGGTAGAGGCCACTGAGCTACATCCCCAGTTCTACATTTAGTCACAGTCTTTCTAAGATACCCAGGCTGGCCTCAAATTTGCAATCCTCCTGCCTCAGGCTCTTGAATCACTGGAATTACAGGCATGTGCAACTGCACCTGGTCTGGGGTATCTTTTATAAGGGCACTAACCCCTTCCATGAGAGCTTCACCTTACCTGACACTTATGTCCTTAACAAAAAAAAAAAAGTGTATCTTTTTCTGGGACATTACAAAACTAACTAGGGACTCTAGAGCAATCTTTCTCTTTTTTGCAGTGCTGGGGATTGAACCTGAGGCCTTGTACATGCTAGGCAAAGGCTCTACCACTGAACCCCCATTCCTGGTGTCCCTAAAAGTGATCTCTAGGCTCATAAAGAATGATTTGGACTTGGATGCTGTGGGGAGAGTGCAAAGGCTGGGTGGGGTTTTGGTTGTAAGGTTGAGAAGCTCTAATCAGGAGCCAAGAGAAAATCGATTTGACATCTCAACAGCTCGTACAGAGAATCTATGCATGTGGGTAGGGAATCATGGCATTCTAAGGAGGACTCAGTTACTATCTCCTGCCACCACCTCATCTTGTAGCAGACTTTAAAAGGCTGGAAGAAACACACTAGTCTGACATATGGGCACCAATTAGACTTTTATAGAGTCGAGGAAATAAAATGCTAACTACTACGGTGGCTCCTGGTGAACAGAGCAGGGTGATTTGTCTGCGGGGAGGACAGAAGCATTTGCCACAGCCTCCTGTTCTGCGTGACGCTCTGCACGGTGCCAGCTTGTTGTCTTGACAAATTTATTTTCCATAGCGCTGGAACATATGCTTATAATTGGAAGAACGGAGGCACTGGAGATAAGGAGGAAGTTGTCATTGAAAAATGAGCCCACTGACGTTGTTTCCCAGCCCCGTATTTCAAGATATGTCACTTGGTCTCCAAAAAGTGACTCAGAGTCAACAAAATTGATTCAGAGATTGGTGCAAACTTGTGACACAGGCACCCACCATATTTTAAGTGACATATCAACATTGACTTTGTGTCCCATCTCCTCAACGCTGGCCCTATTTTCTCCTACCCAGTTGCCATAACTTGTTGAATAGTGACCACCAGAAGGTTTTAATTTACTTAAGCAAATGTCTGGGGAAGAAAGCAAATAAAAATAGTGGTCTTTTGGTGGTGGTTGAGAAGGTGTGGGGCCATAGACTGGGGAAGAGCTGAGAAAAGGTCAGCAATGAATTTCATCCTCGTCCAGTATTCAGTCGGGTGTTTGGGGTGACCTGTTAAGTCCTTTCAGACAGAAGGGCCTGCTTCACAGTGGGTAAGAAAACTTTTGTGCTTGTTCTTTGATTCAACTCCTTAAAACCAAACCAGTCTCTCATACATGTGTTTATAAGTTGTGTTCTCTCTCTCTCTCTGAGTCTCACTTTTCCTCCTCTGTGGAATGGGGTTAATAACAGCTTTTGGTGTGGTTAGAGGATTTGATGATATATCCCATAGAAAGCACCAAGCCCCCTGCAGGCATAGACAGGGTACAGGAGAAGGAAGCCACCCACAGACATGTGGTGCCATGTTGGGGGGGGGCGGCTCTTCATGTTGCCTGGACTGTAGTCCTTCTGCAGATAGGTGTCCTAGGCTGCGATGTCACCAGGTTCATCTCAAGAGCCACCCAGGTGTTTGGGTGACAGGATCGTTCAGAGCAACCACTTCAAACCTAGACAAAGACAGCTCCCCCCGATAACCAGAGCATCTATCTGTTTTCCAGCCCCAAAGAGGCCATTTAGATAAAACAGGCAAGTCGGAGATGTGCAGTGGCTGATAGTGACCTAAAATGGGCAGATCCAAGGTGAAACAAAAGCCCTCTGCTGTCCATCAGTGTCAGCGGCACCTGCGTGTGAAAGGTGGGTGCAGGGGCTTCCCCTAGGAGGCTGGAGCCGGTCTCCAGAGACAGGCAGGGGGTTAGAAGCTGCTCACAGCTCCGGCCGGCGTCTTACATGAGGCGCCTTGTCCTGCAGCCTCGCTCCACAAATGAAGAAACTGAGGTTCAGAGAGGTTCACTTGCCCCACAGCCTACTGTTAACCTGGAGGCAGAAGGAAGAAAGGGAACTCAGGTCTCCGCCACTGAACCCAGGGCTTCCTGCGTCTCCCAGCCTGGCTGGAGCTTGAGAACAGTTTTTCTGGGCAAGTTTAGAGCAAAGGAGAAGGGAAGTGCCACCAAGCAGAGAGTTGTCAAAGAAGAAAGAGAAAGGGAAATTCTTTTTTTTTTTTAAATTTTAAGTTTAAAAGTGAAGGGGGGTATTTAATTTTACAATCCAAAATTGATTCGTGCTCACTAAAAAAAATGCTAGACCGTTCAGCACTACAGAAAGCAGAAATGAACAATTCCAGGCTTCTCATCAAACCCAGCCTTCCCCAGCCCACTTTTCCCCCAGAGGCAAAAATCTGTTAATAATTTTTGGTGTAACTTTCAGACACTTTTTAGACATTTACAGTGTTTGTATAGCCTTTTTAAGAAACTCAGATGGGGTTATCCAATATATACTGTTCAGCAATTTGCTTTTCTCTTTGTTTGTTTTACTTAATAACATACCATCCACAGTTTTGGGTGTCAACGCTTGTAGATCCCATTGTTTTAAGGGGCTCTAGTGTGTCTCGCCATGTGGGCGAAGCATGATTTATTTCACCAGTTCTCTAACACCAGGCCTTCAGATTGCTTCTAGCATTTTCCCACTCATACAACCCACTGTTTTCTGAATGCTGTTTGCAAGTACCTTCTTGAATTCTAACTGGAGTAGAGCACCCATTTGTGCAGAGAACAGTTGTACTTTTATCATGAGTTGCTTGCTTTTATCTTTTTTAAAATTTTTTATTTGTTTTAATTAGTTTGCTTTTATCTTTTTGTACATTTTCAAGCTTTGCTTTTACTTTTTTTTTCTTTTTTGGCTTATAATAGTGTTTTTTGGTAAACTAAATAAATTAACATGAATGTCAGGTCAATTTCCTAGTTTGTTTGTCTTTGGGCTTTGTTTGTTTGGCCAGTTTAAATTTTTGCACGGTTGAGTTTATAAAATCTGTTCTTTATATCATCTTGGTATAAACCTCCTCCTCTACGCACCCCTGCCATGGTGTACTGTGCCACCACAGACCTGAAGCCACAGGGCCAACTGGACTAGAACCTCTGAAGCCAAGAGCCAATGTAAACCTTTCCTCCTTTAGGTTGATTACCTCAGGTATTTTGTCATAGTAACAGAAAACTAACAACTATTTACCTAAAATACCAATGTTTTCACAAATCAAATTCCTATTTATATTCAGATTTTTCTCTGAACTCTATTTTGTTCCATTGACCACTGTGTTCAAAGTACTCGATAGTTCTGTTTTAAATACTATAGTTTTATATTGTATTCTTAGTTTCTACTAAGGCTAGTCTTCACATAATTCTTCTGTAAAATGAAGTTCTTTTGTTTGCTTAAAAGGACCCTTGATTATGGCTCCGAGGAAAGACATATTTAAGGATGAGCAATGATTGTATTTTATTAAAGCTACCCCACACATATTCTTCAGGTTTTGACCCACATAAATTAGCAAAGTCTTACAATGTTTATAAGATCTTTCTTCCTAGGTTATAATGTGTTCCTGAGCCTTGGAGCCTGATACATTTGGAACTTTGTTATTGCTATAGTAGGGGCAGGGGGCAGCTGTGGGGGGTCATGGGAACAATGAGCAGCTCCTTGAAGCCTCCTGTCCCAGTGAAGCTACCACAGGATTTGCCATCCGGGAAGGTGGGTCTCAGACACAGAAGGACAACGAGGAGGCTGAGTAGTAGAAGTCTTGTCATGTAACTTCCAACCTGACCGTCCCACTCCAAGGTTCTTGGACTCTTGCCCTATTCAATGCCTTAACTTTTACACATGGGACTTGGTGAGGTTGTGAACTCAACTGACATTGCAATTCTGAAAGCCTCCCCTTTAAATTCTGTGTTTAATTTCTAAAATATCAGCCTTTGGCCATAATAAAAAAAATTCTTTTAGGGTAACCATGGAAATTTCTGGTCCTGAGGCCATGACTTGAATTGGGAATTTAAGGATTTTAATTTGTCCTTTGCTTTCTACAAATGTTTCCGTGCGATCTGAAGGATCCATCCGACACCACAGGGGCCCCACCAAGGGGCATTTGCTTCTGTGCCTAATTCACCAAAATTACCATGGCTCAATCAATTGCAAAGCTACTCCATGCCCTGGGGAATTAACATCTATTTGCCACTCAGAAAAATACATCCCTTCACTTAAACCTAAAGAGATGATCAAATTAACACCAAATCTCCTGGTTGAGGCTCTGTCTTCTGGAACACTCCTGTCAGCAGGAGACAGATGCACATCAGTGTTTGAACAGGGAAAATTTAATGCACAAAATTGTTAGCTATTAAAAAGTAGTTAACTACTTAAAAAGAACTAAGGAATTCAGGCACAGGAAAAAGAAGCTATTACCTCTAAAGTAGAAAAAGTATAATGAAAGAACAGAGAACATGAAAGAAGACCTTTTTCAAGTTTAGCCCTCAGTGGGAATGGAGTGGCTGCAGGGAAACATGTACCTACCTGTCAGTGTTGGAGAAATCTGCCAGAGAATTTGGGCCCAGATGGTCTGCAGGAACAGCTTGCTAAGTGACTGAGAAACTCACTGGACAGCAGGGAGCTGCCAGTTGGGTACCAAAGGACTGGGGCTGATTTACAGGAAGCCACCTGCAGCCATGCTGGCTGGTGGAGTCTGTCTTCTGGAGGTAGACTGCTGGGTGCAGGAGAAACTGGGTGAGAGTGAGTCTCTCTGCTGGCAGCTGTACCACAAGAGGAAGAGAAAAAGCACACCAGGAGTGCAGAGAGGAGCCTCTCCACATATTGGCATTTGAAGTCAGTCATGTTGGCAGCTCCAGTGTTTGTGGTCCTTTTTCAGGAAAAGCTCATGAGCTGCAGGATTTTGCCCATGTCAAGGATAACGCAGGCCTCCCGCTAACACAGAGGGTTCGAAATATGACCCCAGATCAGCGCCACCTGGAAACTTATCAGAAATGCACATTCTAGGCCCCCATCACTGACTTCCCAGGATGGAGCCAGGATCTGTGTTTTAACAAGCCCTTTAGCTGTTTGAGATGCAGGATAAAACATTTGGGACAGAGTTGAAGTAAAGTGTTGGCTTTTGCACATTTACAGTCAAAGTGAACTTGGTGAGACATGGAATCTAAGCCTCAGTCTCCTCATCTGTGACATAGTGCCTTTATGTCAATCATTTATAGGCTTGCAGTGAAAATTAGAAAATCAGTATATAGGGCTTGTAAAAGTGCAGGTCACATAGGACTCAAAAATTGTTTTTTGTTGTTGTTTTTGTTTTTGTTTTCTTTTTCCAGGAGTAGAGGGACTTGTGGTTTTTGTTTGCTTTTTAGAGATGGGGATCTTGCTATGTTTTTGAGGCTGGCCTTGAACTTGTTGGCTCAAGCAATCCTCTTGTCTCAAGTCTCCTGAGTAGCTGGAACTACAGGTATGTACCACCAAACCTAGGTTAAAACTAGTGTTTTTAGAGAGTTTAGTATAGTAAGTACCAGACATATAGTAAAAGTATGTGCTTAGTAACAGTAGCTAGTAAAGGTTCAGTGGTAGTAATACTCCTTAAGACCTGTATTGAACCTACCTTGTACTAGGCATGCTGGTGAGCCCTCTACCTCTGTTTTAATGGTTCCAACAGCTGTCTGAGATAAATATAGCATAATTATTACCACTTTTGGGAACAGGTACAGAAAAGTTTAACTTCTTCCTTAAGATTGTATAGCTATACGTGATTGAGCAAAGATGCAAAAACGGGCATCCTTCCTCTCTCCTTTCCTTTTCAGTGCTGGGGATTGAACCCAGGGCTTCATGCATGCTAGGCAAGCACTGTACCACCGAGCTGCAGTCCCAGTCCTATTTATTTATATTATTTTCAGACAGGTCTCACTAAGATGCCCAGGCTAACTTTGGGGAAGGAGGAGAGACTATGCCATTTTATATTATGAATTTTAAAGAGAAGCCCCCCTCCCTTTTTTCCCTGAAAACAGAGAATATCTTCTTGTACAATTTGCAAAGCAATGATAAGCAACATTGCCTCCAGATTGGGGTTCCCTGGAGCGGGGAGAATGTTCAGTGGGAGCCCAGGGCTGGGGTGGACCAGGCTGGGTCTATGTCTTTTCCACTGGTGATGATCTGAGAGAGAGGAAAACAGAACCTGTCAGTTTCATTGGAATCGGTGCCTTCGGGAAGTGCCCAGCATGACAGATGAAAGTGTCAATTAGTGAGAACTTAGAAATTCTTGGCAAACTTGAGCATATGCAAAAAAAATCTAATCCCAAGTGGGCCTGGGGAGGGCAGGGAAACGCACAGGTCCTTTTAGCCTGCTGACCCAGCACGCTGTGGATAGCAAAGCTGATGCTCTTCCAAAGAGCCCAGGCCGCAGCAGGCAGGAATTGGAGAGGCTGTGCCGGAAGGTAGAGAAAGGGGGCGAGGCTCCCCCCCCTCCTTCCCTCTTAGCCTGTACGGATGCACCTGGAATTTGGCCTTTGGCAGGTGCAGAGAGACTTCAAAGACTACCACTGTTCTAAAGATGTCAAGGAAGAGCAACCACAAAAGACTGAGGAGCAGAAGAAAGGAATTTTTAGCTGTGAGGATGATGTGGGCCAATGACTGGCAGGCAGTGAGACCCATTTGCTAGAGTGTGAAAGGTGAGCAGGAGAGGAGAGGTTCAGCTGACCCGTGTGTGTTACATGCCTACTATGGGTCAATTACACTCTAGGTTTTGGTGAAATAGAGATAAATGAACCACAGGGGTCTCTTGTCCTGGGAAGTTGCCAGTCGGATGCGGGAGAATTGTAGACAGATAAATTACCTAGAGTGTAAAATGGGGCATAAGAAGATGTCCTGAGAACACAGATTGGGGTTATATAACTCAGCTTAGGCCCCAAAGAAATGGTATCGTGAAAGTCTTCTCAGAGGAAGGTATTACTGAGCTGAGTCTAAAAAGAAGAAGAAGAAGAAGAAGAAGAAGAAGAGGAGGAGGAGGAGGAGGAGGAGGAGGAGGAGGAGGAGGAATGTGCCAGTTAGCATGGTTTTGCTGCATATTGCAAAAACTTGAAACCAACAGCCTTACATGATAAGGCTTATTTTGATACTTATTTTGATACAGCATTTAGAGTTGGTTAATTCAACAGCTGGACAATGTTATCAAGGATCTGCTTCTTCCCACATCTTAGTTTTGCCCTCCTCTGTGTGTTAGCTGTGTTCCCAGATCACCATCCTCATGGTCCCAAGATGGCTCCAGAAACATTGGACAACATCTGGGAACATCCATGTCAAGAGGAAGGAAAAAGGTACTTTTCCCATTAATCTTTATTTGAGGGAAGTAAACCTTTCCCAGAAGCCTCCCACAGAACTTCTCTCACATTTCATTGTCCAGAATGGCTGTTCATGCTCACACCTAACCCAGTCCTTGCAGGGCAACCAAAGGGAAAATAAACTCCCTAATTAACTTAGGCCATGAGGATCCACCACCCAGGAGAAGAGTGTTTATCTAAGCAAAGGCAGTAAGGGCCCAGATTGTAGAGGCATTACATGAATTCTATTTAATAGGGAAGAAGTTAGTAATAACCCCTCTTTTTTTCTTTAATAGCTTCATTAAGTGATGACTGACATATTAAAATTTTCATATACTTAAAGTGTGCAATTTGGTAAATTCTGACAAGTATATATACTTGGGAGATCATTGTCACAATTGAGGTCATGAACATGACCATGACTGTTTTAGTCAGCTACTTCCCCGCTGTGACCAAAAGACCCAACAAGAACAATTGTAGTGGGGGGGGGGCTTACTTGGGGGCTCACAGTTTCAGGGGTCTCAGTCCATAGATGACAGCTCTATTGCTCTGGGCCTAAGGTGTGGCAGAACATCATGGCAGAAGAGTGTGATAGAGGAAAGTCACTCAGAATATGACCACCAAGAAGCGGAGTAAGCAAGTTTTTCTCTTACCAAAAATAAGACATAGGAACTTCCGGATCCTAGAGCCTAAACATGGACGTGAGCCTAAGGAACTTCTGGATCCAGGGGCCTAAACATGGATGTGCACCTGAGGAACTTCTGGATGCTATGGTTTAAACATGGAGGACTGAGGAACTTCTGGATCCGGGGGCTTAAACATAGACGTGCACCTAAGGAACTTCCGGATCCTGGGACCTAAACATAGACGCCTGAGGCACTTCCCGGATCCGGGGGCCCAAAGATGGATGTGCACCTGAGGAACTTCCGGATTTGGGGGCCTAAAAATGGATGTGCACCTGAGGAACTTCCTAATCTGGGGCCCTAAATATGAATGCCTGAGGAACTTCCGGATCCAGAGGCCTAAACATGGACGTGAACCTGAGGCACTTCCCGATGCTTCGGCCTAAACATGGATGTGCGCCCAAGGAACTTCCGGATCTGGGCGCCTAAACATGGACGTGCACCTGTGGAACTTCCAGATCCGGATCCGGGGGCCTAAACATGGACGCTTGAGGAACTTCTGGATCCGAGGGCCTAAACATGGACGTGTCCCTGGAACTTCTGGGTCCTTGTGCCTATAAAGGGCAGGGTGTGACTCTCAGAAGGGACATGGCCCATGAAGGGGAGCTGAGTATGGGGCCTGTTGGGGGGGCAGACTGAGCTGTCACACCCTGAATTTGAATGTGATGGTGGCCTCACTTCCCGGCCTTCCCTTGGGTGTCACTTCCTCCCCTTCCAGGTGGTGCCAGGGAGGAAGTGAGACCAGATGCAGGGGCCAGGCCCTAAGGAGGGACACCGTCTTTCTCCTCACTTAGCCAAGCACCCAGCCTGGCTGGGGACAGGGACGTCTTGTGACACTGGCTGCCTCCTACATCCCTGCCCCAGGACCTCAGGGACCACAAGTGGGGACAGTTGTTGACATGATTCTCCCCTGGCCGCTGACCCTCAGCCCTGGGGTCTGCCCAGGGAGAGTGCTGTCTCCCAGAGGGTCGGGGGCCCCTGTGACCTGCTGTTCCTTACCCACCATCATCCTGGGCGAGCACAGTTCAGGACACCAGACGCTACCGAAAGTGACATCTTCTGGATGAGTGGCTGGGGACTTTGCCTCTGTCCCCATGTCTCAGACACCGGATGATCCCTCCCAGAGACAGAAAATAACCCCACACTGCCCAAGACTTATTTTTAAGCTTTAGATTCTGAAATTTTCCTGCTGCCACCTTCCTTGTGAAGCCAGTTTTTCAACAGAAACAATATTCCAGGGGAAAATAAAAACAAAACATGGAGTCGATCAAACCAAGCTGACACATCTGGTCCTCCAAGAGAAATCTGGATTGGAGGGAGAACAGCCATTCTCAACTGGCGAAATAGTGAAGTTCCCTTGTCCTTATTTTGTGTAAGCAAAATAAATACTCTGATGTTAACTCATCAAATTATTTTTGATGAGTGCTTGGCTCATAGGAAAATTGATTCTGTTTTATGGAATGAAGTGTTACCTGATTTTAAAATTAAAAATGAAGCCAATAAAAAAAAAGAACTTATGGGGTGCAGGTGCTCCACAGGAGCTTCAGAATCCCTTAAAGCCATTCCCTGAGGTCTGAAGACCCTGCCGTACCCTCCTGTAAGATGCTCTTCCCTCATCACCCTCTCCCTGAGGGCAGCTGTCTTGTCCTCTCTGGATGCTCCTGGTCTGCAAAGAACTCCTCATCTCTTACACCGTAACACTGAGCATTGGGGGTCATGGTAAGGACCTAGGG